GCTCCTGTTGACCCACTCCCTACCCACTGGTGGCCACCTCCTTCCTCCAGAGGACTGACCTTAGACCAGCAAGGAAATGCATTAGCTGCTCTCATGAATCACCTTTCAAAGGAGATTCCCAGGTGGAGCTGTTGGGCTGACACACTCTGGAGGGTCCTTCTCAAAGCAAAGAGGCATATCTGGAAGGGTTAGGGAAGGGGCTGGGGGTGGAGCAGGTAAAACCTCAGATCCTTGCTCCTTCATACCTCTGGGCCCTGCTGCTTTATGAGCCTACTCATAAAGAAAGAAAGAAAGAAAGAAAGACTTCTTTCTTATTTGCAATAATTTTCATATATTGCCCTCCAGGGGAACACCTTCCATCAGATAGGTCTGTGTTTGTGTGAACTCCAGTTTTGAAACAAAAGTAGGTTCTTTCCCATGAGATTCCTGGCCTTATGCAATAGAGGCACCAGAGGGGTCCTTGGGAGAATGGTTTAGCTTCTTTAATCTCTTATCAGCTTGCTTCCCCAACCAAGTAATCATATTATCTGAATAAAAACTATGTAAATGCAGAAGAAATGTCACAGAATACCTTTTTTCAACCTGATTGCCACTCCTAAATCTCTCCTGTATGGAAATTCTGGATCATCATTGAAATCAGAAGTTGTTGCTCACTGGTCTTTAAAAATGGAAATATTCTGACAGGAGGCTGCATGAGAAAACCTCTAGGGGGCGATGTTACCTAAAAGAATCTTACCATTGCCCTAGTCCAAACCTCCCTGACAACATTCTTCATTGCCTAACTCTTTATGCACTTTTCAAAGGATTCCATCTTTCCTGGCCTTTTATATTTCTGCCTGCCTCAAAAGGGCGCCGGTCACATCTGCCAACATGTAGTAAGTGCTCTTATTACATGCCTCTTGCCTTTTGATAGTTAATCTGACTTAGCTCAAGTGATCTCCAGGGGAGCCCATCCTACCTTTATATTTGAGAAATGTAATCCAGTTTGCTAAGTACGTACAGGTCCTGGGTGCCTTTTTGGCTTAAAACTATTCCTTGAATTTATGTCATCACTCAGGTAACTCAAATTCCTGAACACACAGGTTTGCCTATGATTCTTTCCCACTATACTTTTGAAAGTCCATCTTATATTTTATAGTTGCTTGGGTCACAACTAATAGCAGTGGTCTGTGTAGTAGCTCTTTAAAGCTAGTAACTCTTCATCTTTCTTCCCGCAGGGTCTAGCATAGTGATTCACCCTATAACAATTCATAGATAGAGGTAGTGATTCACTCCATAACACTTCACATAGTGATTCTTATAGAGTAAGATGGGTGAATGAATGGATGGATACATGAATAAACCCCAAACCTTGTTTGGAATATTAAAAGTTTGACTTAGAGAATAGGCAGCACATTGTAGCTTAAGAAAGAATTTTAGGAAATCAATGCATTAATAAATGTAAGGACAACCAGTATTCCGTTCTCCTATAGTACTTTTTAAAAAAATTGAAATGTAATTCACATACCATAAAATTCATCATTTTAAAGTGTACAGTTCAGTGGTTTTTAGCATATTCACAGAATTGTGCAACCATAACCACTATCTAATTCCAGCATGTTTTAGCACCCCAAAAAGAGACCCTGTACCTGTTAGCAATCACTCCCCATTCCCTCCTACCCCCAACCCCTGGTGACCACTAACCTACTTTCTATCTCTATGGATTTGCCTATTCTGGACATTTCGTATATTGGATCATGCAATATATGGCCTTTTGAATCTTGTTTCTTTCACTTATAATCCCATTGCACTTTGAACATATCTCTGTTAACACTTATTTTGCTGTGTTGTGATTGTTTACCTGCCTGCCTCCTACTGGACTATTAAATATTAAACATCACAAGGGCAGAAACTATGCCTTGTTTATTTCAACATTTCTAACACAGAGTTCAGGGTCTGGCACAGAGTGGACACTCGATAAACGTTTGCTGCACGAACAATGCTCTTCCTACTCCAGCGAATCTGATTGGTTGGTGCTTGGATGTGCCTCTGTACACACTCCTTACATGCATAACAAAATGAAAGGCCCCTTACTGGGTCTAGATGGAGAGGAAAGCAGGATGTCCTTGTGGTATGAAATAGCTTGCATTGGGAAAGGTAAACATTTTCCTGATTCAGGCTGCTGCAGACTTGCACGACAGCTAAATTAGAATAGAAGTGAGGCTGATTAGAACTATTAACTCTTTATATCACTTGTGTCGGTATAATTCAACCACATCTATTAATTAAAATGCATGGTTTAGAAGTTACTGAAGACATACGTTTTTGTAAATGAATTTATGTAAAAAATGAATTTATGTAACTATAGATATATAATTAATATATATTTGGGTTGTAGATACATTCTAATTTCCCTAGAATTAAAAAATACATATATTGGGCTGATGCTAGGTTTTTATTGAGCTGTATCTCCAGCTGAGATTCTGTTCCACATGGAGCAGCATTGGGCTATTCAGGACAGGCAGGACAGGAGAGGAAGGTCAAAGTCTTTCTTTCTGGAGGAAGACAGCTCCAGTTAATTGTGTACAGAACCTCCTTGAGGCTCTGGCACTAGGGTCAAGGCATTTTTCCCAGGGCCTGAAGATGACCTGAAGTCAGCGCCGAGACTGTTGACAAGAACCTTGCCAGAGTAGATTTGCCCCAGTCTAAGACATCAGGTTCCGTGAGTTTCACTCAGATTCTGTGAGATATAACAACCCAAACAAGCATTCCGTTCTCTTATACCCCAGGGCTCTGGACTTATAGTTCCTTCTACTTAGAATGCTCCACTCCCTTTCTCCATCAGGTGAATTCTGCCTCCTCCTTTAAAATTAGTCCAAACTTCATGTCCTCTGATGGCTACCCTGTCTTCCCTAGGCAGCGTTAATTTCTCTAATCTGTGTTTCTGTAGGGCTTGGCTCAGATCTCCATAGGACTAGAGGTTTAAAAAAATTACAAGTCAGTGGCCGGCTCCGTGGCGTAGTGGTTAAGTGCTTGCGCTCCGCTGCTGGCGGCCCAGGTTCGGATCCCCGGTGCACACCAACACACAGCTTGTCAGGCCATGCTGTGGCGGCGTCCCACATAAAGTGGAGGAAGATGAACACGAATGTTAGCTCTGGGCCAGTCTTCTTCAGCAAAAAGAGGAGGATTGGCATGGATGTTAGCTCAGGGCTGATCTTACACACACACAAACAAACACACTAAATAAATAAATTTATATTAAAAAAATTACAAGTATTGCATGCTAGTTGAAAATTGCCCCCTTTTTAGAAGTAGTCATTGCTTATAAATTTGGGCATATGTAGTTCCATTTCTTGTCCTCTGTGTATGTATGTACATTCTTTTTATAAAAATGAGGTCATTTATAATTCTTATACTGAAACTTGCTTTTCTTACTTAACAATAAATTACGGACATTCATATATCTTAGTGTAAATATATCCACCTCATCCTTTATTCCATTGGGATGTACCATTATTTATTTAACTATTGACGACATTGAGGCCCTAGTGTTTCGCTATAGTGAACAGCTGTGCACCTGTCTTTATGACTGAGGAGGCTTTTGGAAGAACAGAATTCCAGAAAGACAGTTATAGTGGGTCAATGGGGTTGTATCCTAAGCATTTAGTTCCAAATCTGTCTCCTCTACTACAGCCTCTTGGGGACAGGGACATACTGTTTTAGTTATGTTTGTATCCCCCAGTGACTAGCATTGTGCCTGGAACATTTTATTTGCTCATTAAATGTTTGTTGAGTAAGTGAATGAATGAATGGTAGTGGAAGGTTTTGATACCCAGTGAGTCACATAGACACTCTTAATTTCACATTCAGCTCCTTCTCTGCTCCATAGCTGTGAGTAGGCCTGATGTTTCCATGTGGGCAAAGCATGGATATAGAGATCTCTCCCCATCCCAAGGGCAGGTACCTCTATTGCTTAGAGCTGACACTGTAGAGGGGTCTAACCATTTCTTTTAACCCCTAATTCAGGGGCTAACTTCCGTCTGTTATTATGAGGCTGCTACCTGCAGCCACTGTTGGATGTAATTTCTAAATTTTTTAAAAAATTTATTACCTACTTGGTAGAATGGGAAGCATAGAATACTGTGTGCATGTGGCATTAGGAATCTGCAGATACACATTTTAGTAGAGGATTGGATTTCCTTTCATACTTGTGTTGACCTCTTTTCCTTACATCTGGGTAACATAAGGTCAGTCTTAACCTGACCTCCTGCCCCAGTCACTCCGCACTTTAATCCATCTTGTTTATCACTGTGAGATGGATTTTCCTAAAACCCTTCTCCTTTCTCAAATCTTTAATGGTCCCCATTTCATAAAAGCTAAATCTCCTTACACTGACATTCAAGGCCTCAGTGGTGTGACCTCAGTCTATCTTTTGTATCACATCTCCCATCACTCACCTTCCTAGCCACTCAGTTCAGACAAAGTGGTCTATTTTTCTCTACATCCTAAATGTGCCTTGGGCTTTCCTGTCTCAGAACTCTTGACCATGCACTTCTTTTAATCTGAACAAGTATTTTCCACTTTTCTCCACCCATCCAAATCCTCCAAGATTCAGTCAAGTCCTTCCCCCTCCCTTGCCGGGGGAAAATTTCAAACCTGCTCCAGGGACCCATGTGGTTGTTCTCTTCTAACTGTGTGGGACATTCTGTCAACATTACTTCTTTCATCTTTAATCAAGTCAGTCTATAACCCCACTAACATCGTTGTCTAGAGCTGTTTTTCTCTCTTCACTTGTTTTGTGTCTTTGCCTGTACTTATTTTTATCTCCCCCAAATACAGTGTAAGTTCTGGAAGGTAGAGACGTGTCCTGTCCCAGGTCTGCATGCACAAAGCCCTCACTTAGTGTTTGCTCCTTGCTAGAGTGGATTAATGTTCTGCTTCTCTGGAGTCTTAAAGATGAGAGCCAGGCCATTGTTCTATAAACTGTAAGATTTAAGTTTTTTTTCCTTTTCTTCTTTTAGCCATACTTCCCATTGCCTCCAGCTGTTGCACCGAGGTTTCACATCATATTTCCAGAAGGCTTCTGGAAAGAGTGAATACATGTCGCATTCAGAGAGCTGATGGGGATTGTGACTTGGCTGCTGTCATGTGAGTGTCTTCAGCAGGGAAATCTGCACAGTGATCATTTCTCGGCCAATGAACAGTAGGCTGAGGAGGCTTTGCCTGACACACAACATAGAAATAATCATACAAACAAGAGAGGGGAGAGTAAATATTCTGCCTTTCTGCCCCAGGCTCCCTGGAGTGAATGCACAATCTCTGCATTAAGATGTCCAGAGCCCCCATTACCCTCTGCTCCCCCCCACTGCAGTGCTGTGATTAGGGCTAAATGCCTGCAGTCACCCTACGATGGGCACGACTTTCCTAAGCAAAACAAGGGATGCTCTGAGTGAAAAAACACAACAAAAAGAAAAACAGAAGGTGACTGTTCTATTTCATGGCTTTAACTGTAACTTTTTCCAGGCAAGTACATGGGTTGCTGTCATTTTCACTCTCTGAGTTCATAAGGAGTGTATATAAGGTTCCAGTAGAACTGTAGAGATGAGATGTCTGTACCTGGTACAAGTGCTACATGCGATCAAGCACAAATGCCCTTCTTTGCTTTGATTCTTTCCTATTGGCTCATGGTGAGCCCTCTCACCCCTCCCACCTCCACCCCTGGCTCATTTATTAAAAACTTTAGACCTATACGTACTTAAGGTCTTCACAGAGACTTTAAAATATGAAATGCTTGGTTTTTAGCAAATTTGGATTCTGACAACAATGCTGTGAGGAAGGCATAAATTATCTCCATGTCACCGAGGAGAAAGCTGTGGCTGAGGAGATGACATAGCTCACCTGGTGACATACAGCTAGTGAATGGCAGAAATGGGATGTGAACCCAGGTCTCTTCGTTCAGAACACTGTATACCTCCAAGGTCTCTCAAAAGCAGCGGTGGGACTAACCATAAAATGCTCTCCCAAAACTCCATTACATTTGGCACCTTCAAATCAGAAAAACAGCATACTAGGCTTCTCCCTGGTGTGCTGGTTCTACACCACTTATGCTCCAGGTGATCTAATGAGCCATTCGGTGCCCTTCTTTGGGCTGCAAATAAGCCCATTGCTTATGCGTGCGTTCCTGAGAACTGGGGAACCTCTTTATTTATTTAATGAATTCAACAAATATTTATTGACTAGCGATTATGTACCAAGCACCATTCTATGTGGTGGGGATGTAGCAGTGACAAAACAGACTCTGCCCTCCTACAGTGTCCAGGGGACTCTACCCAGCTGGGTCCTGCAAACCATTCTCTGAGATTTAAGATACATTTTTCTCCATTCAGAGGAATCCATCCATGACCCAACTTTGATAAATACTGCTACAGGACAAGGTTCTTAGAAGTTCAGAGGAAGAGTTTGTAAGATGTCCATTGATAGACTTCTCTCAGGTCAGGGGGCTGTGAACTCCCTGAAATTTGTGGGAATGAATGTGTGAGCATTTTTCTGGGGAGAAGGTCCATAGGTTTTATAAGAGTCTCAAAAGGATCTAATAAAGATCTAATAGATCTAATAAAGTTTAAAAGTCACACTTGGGGTTAGATGTGCAGAGGAAGACAATTCCTGGCCCAAACTTTTGATAAGGATGAGTGTCTATGTGGGGAAAGGGAGAGGGTTGAGAACTCTCTTAGCATCTCCTCAGTTCATGTCACTGAATCCATTGGCTCAGGTGGTTTAGTCACTGGGAGCCAGTGTATCTTATAGCAATCCAGGAAATACTTACTAATGAGGTACTTTTTAGGGGTGCTTCCAGTTCCAAACTTCTTTGAAAAACTCCCTTAGTATGTGCCTGGCTGAGATTCTATCAGTCTTTTATTTAATCTTAAGAAATAGTGCTGGTAGGGCCGGCCCTGTGGCTTAGCAGTTAGGTGCGCCCGCTCCGCTACTGGTGGCCCGGGTTCGGATCCCGGGCGCGCACCAATGCCCCACTTCTCCGGCCACGCTGAGGCCGCGTCCCACATACAGCAACTAGAGGGATGTGCAACTATGACATACAACTATCTACTGGGGCTTTGGGGAAAAAAAGGAGGAGGATTGGTAATAGATGTTAGCTCAGAGCCAGTCTTCCTCAGCAAAAAGAGGAGGATTGGCATGGATGTTAGCTCAGGGCTGATCTTCCTCACAAAAAATAAATAAATAAAGAAAGAAAGAATGAAAGAAAGAAAGAAAGAAAGAAAGAAAGAAAGAAAGTGCTGGTAATATTTGGAGAGTAAAAATTCATAGGCAGTTCATGGATGACAGTGCTCTGGAAAATTGGAAACATTTGGGTATTTGTGTCAGGTCTACCTAGCTGAACTAAATCTGCCTGAGGCTGCTCTGGCTATGCTCAGAAACACCAAATTCTCAACTTTCAGTTCCTTCCACCTCATTGGCATATGTCATCTCAGACTAAAGAAGACTTCAGAACTTGTAAGAGCTCCCATGGGACTCCCAGGAAGGCATGGGGAAAGAACCAGGGGAAATTTCTGTGTGTGTATGAGTAAGAGTGTGTATGAGCTAAGGATTACCAGGGGACACTATTGGTAACAGGATTTTTCAGAGAAGTTTCTTTGGGATAAGCAGATGTGAGATAGAGATCTAAAAGTTACAAGAACAGAAATTATATAAGTCCTCACTTTGGTAAGGGAAAATATGATAAAAAATGATCAGAATACGATTAAAAAGGACTCGTTTTTAATTAAAGGGAAACTATGAAGCTAATCACTTGGATCTAAAAATATTTTATTCAAGTACAAGTTTGTAAGTTGACTTCTCTGTGCTGATAAGACAGCTGAAAAATACAGAGTAGTTATGACCTGGTCTCAAATAGGATTAAATTTGACTATGTAGTATTTTTTAATCACAAATTACAGATCTTCTCTGTTGTGTTTCCTGACATTTAAAACAAAAAGATAAAAGTTCTCTTGTTTTCAATTTGTTTTGCTGCAGAACACATCTTTACTTATCCAAAATATAGTCCCTTAACTTGGAATGTGTATAGAGACTTGAAGCTTTGAGTCAAGTGTTTTAGTTGCAGAAAACATTGCAAGCATTGGAAATATAATTCCCAAAGAGCATGTATTATTATTAATCACAATTAACTAATATAAATTAACTTACAGTGAACTCACTAGATTTCTTTCCTTTTTCTTTTCTGCCTAGAAATAGGTCCTTTGTTTCACACCCTATAAATGATCATTGTAATTTTTGATGTCTGAGACAGCAATTTGCTTGTTTAAACCCCTCTGCAGTAACTTCATTAAAGAGCTTCTGGCTGTTTCTAAACAGAAATGCAATGCAAAGTTGTTTATCTTGGGCAGAGGGCTGAGGTTTCTTGAATCATACAGACATTATCTGTTGGGAAGAAAATTGGTGGTTATTAAATAAAGGTATCTGGGAGGCTTGAGTATTTTTTCAGAAGTGGTTGTTAAGGGCTGTTGTGCTTAGAGGGATGGGTAAAGAAAGAGTATAGCAAACAATGGTACAATCTTGATGGCAGGGCTACCCCTTTAGGTCCATTGGACTGTCTCTAGCTACCCTCTTGTGGATAAAAGAAGCAGGGGATTAGCCTTTTGGTTTCTTAGAATCAAACTCTCCACCTAGAAATTCACAACTCGAGGGTTGGGGCCCATCAGAATCCTGTGGGGTTGGCGGTAGGGGAAGGAGTGTGGAATAGGCTACCTCCTTGTCCAGCATGACCCCATCTCTTTTTGTCCTGATGGAATACACATGGGATACAGGTGGAGGTTTAAGCAGTCTTTAAACTTTAGGATTTGAGGGCTGGCCCTGTGGCTTGGTGGTTAAGTGCGCACGCTGCGATGCTGGTGGCCCGGGTTCGGATCCCGGGTGCGCATCGAGGCACCACTTCTCCGTTCATCCTGAGGCCGAGTCCCGCATACAGCAACTAGAAGGATGTGCAGCTACGACATACAACTATCCACTGGGGCTTTGGGGGGAAAAAATAAAATAAATAAAATCTTTAAAAAAAAAAATAAACTTTAGGATTTGAAAACATCATAGCATCTTGGGCTTGGGAGCTGTGTTCTGGTAGCTGGTTTTTCTCTTGTATTACATTGAGAGGTTGAGGCCTCACTGGTAGGCCTTTGAAAAGGGTCCCCATGGTGGTTGTTGCCTGTTTTTCTATGGCTCGCCACATCCCTGCATCCTTTGTCTCCATCCCCCCATCCAGTTCTTCCTTCAGCCTCAGGCCAGTGCCCCTCCCTGAAGCTCCTCACAGCCCACAGAATAATGGAGTTGAGTCCTAGTTCTCTCCTGGGTAACTGTGGGCTTGTCTGGATGTCAGTGGAGTCTCTCTCTACCAGATGTCTGCTCAGGTTCTTGCTGACACCACAGGGAAAGGAGAGAGTTTGAGTCCTTTGGAAAGGGTAGGGGCTTCAACTCGTTGTTTTTTTGTCCACATTAGTGCTACAGCCAAGTTTTCTCCTGTAATAGCTAAAGGCAAACCAACTAGTCATAGTGAGAAGTAGCTTTTCTTTTGAAGACCTCTCAATCTAATACACTTAGAGAATTTATTGTCCTCCTATTAAGATGCCTCACTTCTTTCAAAGTAATATTCCCAGACATGCTGGCTTTATTCTACTTAAGCTCATTCAAGCCTTTCCTAACTTTCCCTCGCATTTCGAGAGTCCCCACATTAGCTAATTATTCCTCCTGGGTCATCTGGAGAAATGGCAGCCTACTCTCTGTCCTCCTGTTTTTCTCCCCTGAATAAATAGGGTCAGGGCTTTCGATTTATTTAGACACAGACATATTGTATATGTAGAGCCAGCAGGATTTGTGACATTTAATAAGAGCTGGATGGCACCCGATAGGGAATTAAAAGTCTCAATATCTTTTGTAAGAAGAAATTCTTTTACTTACTAGAAATTGTGAATGCTGCTCTAGGGTTCTCCCACCCCAATGTCAAAATTTCATATAGAAAAAAGGAAATTGAAACAAATTCTGAGATGTGGTATAGATCTATATTATATTAAAATGTTAACAAAAGCCTGGAATATTTTAGTTAATTGTTTTGTTGAAAACAAAACCAGACTGTTCTTATTTTGAACAATTTCCACTTCATATCTACAACTAATTACTGAATTCCTAGTGTGAACAAAGCCTTTTCAAGACAAACTTCCAGACTATTCCTCCTCCAAGAAGCATATCACCACAGGGAAAGGAGAAAGTTTGAGACAGTACTCAAATGAAAGAGTGAAGAACCAGAAGAACCAGAAGAGAGGGAATCAGCACCATAGAGACTCAAAGGAAAAAAAGAGGGCATTTAGCTTAGAGGATCTAGAAAAACCTTGTGGAGGAGGATGTGTTTGCGAGGGGCAGTGAGGAGTGTAGTGGTTTTGTTGGGTGAAGCTTGGCATCAGGAAAGAGAATTTTCACTTGGTTTCTCTCCTCTCTCTCCTCTTCCTCCTCATACTCCTTGCTCCTTCTCCATCTTTTCATACTTTCTGCTGATGTCTGAGGAACCACAGGCAGCAGTGTAGTAAAGTTAAGATTCAACCTTGTGGTGCTCAGCTTTAGGATTTAGTCTCTAAGAATACACTAAAAGTGTCTGAAAGTGGGAACTGTCTATAAGTCACTAACTTTTTACTTACTTGTACTTTATATCAGTGATTTTATTTTCTTCCCTTGGCAGCCTTCATATCAAGCGCAGAAGAATCTGTGTCAGCCCACACAGTCATAATATTAAGCGGTGGATGAAAGAACAAGCATCCAAGAAAAATGCTAAGGGCAACATTTGCCATAAGAAGAAACACCACAGCAAGAGGAACAGTAAAGAGGCACGTCATAGGAAACATGAAACACATGGCCATGAAAATCCCTATTAGAGAGTTTACGAGTGAATCTACACACGATTCCTGAAGCGAACTTGGCCATGGTTGGTTATAAAGTTATCATGTGAATGTTCCTTATTGGAAGCCAAGAGGGCAAAACAAAATATATATTTTTAAAAGGAACAATTATACAGTATGCAAATGTAGCCAATAATATACTCAACTGAAAAATGAAATGAAAGGATAATACAGTCATGCGCCGCATAACGACGTTTCTGTCAATGAGGGACCACATATACGATGGTAATCCCATAAGATTAGTACCGTGTTGCCTAGGTGTGTAGTAGGCTATACCATCTACGTTTGTGTAAGTACACTCTAGGATATTCGTGTCATAAAATCACCTAACAACGCATTTCTCAGAACGAATCCCCATTGTTAAGCGATGCATGACAGTACTTATCTTCATATGGTGTTTTAACAGTAGCATACAGACATAATTTCTCCAATTTTTTTATTATGAAGTTTTCCAAACCTACAAAGAAGTTGAAAGAATGGTACAGTGAACGCCTGTATACCTTTCACTTAAATTAATCATTGTTAATATTTTGCCACATTTGTTTTCTCTCTCCTCTCTTTGTATGTGTGTATATATAAAACATTTTATATATATGTAAAAATATATAATTTTTTTCTAAACCATTTGAAAATAAGTTGCAAACATCATACTACTTCATTCCTAAATTTTTTTTAGTGTTACAACTTGGCGTCCCTCAAGAATAAAGACATTTTCTATATAATCGCATTATCAGCTTTATACCTAAAAAATTAACAGTTTCATCAAATATATTACTCTCATCTAATATATATAATAATGTCATCTAATATATATATACATATATATATACGTATATATATACATATATATATACACATGTATAGTCTACATTCAAATTCCTCGACTACTTCCAGAGCATTTTATATAGGTTTTTTTTAATCAATCAATCAAGGTTCACATATTGCAATTATTTGTTATATTTCTTTAGTATCTTTTTATCTACCAAAGTCCTTCTGCTTTTTTTCTTTTCTTTCTTCCCATGGCATGGACTTTTTAACAGAGTGTAGGTCAGAATCTGCTCCACACTCTGGGTTTGTCTGTTTTGTTATGATTACGTTCAGGCTTAACATTTTTGGTAATAATGCCTCCTGTATGAATTTGTGTATTTCTTAATGCAGTATTTAGAGTTCATGAACATTAGAGTTCATTTTCTAGGTGAATATCACTTTAAAACATCTAGTTTGAGTAGCTACTGTTGTTTGGATTGATAAATTCTGATGCTGAAAAAATACGTTTTAGCTGAATGTCATTTTAAAACACCTAGTTTGAGTGGCTCCTGTTGCATGGATTGAGAAATTCTGATGCTGAAAAATAAAATGTCTGCTTTGCTCTGGGAGCCATCTGCCTCCCACAGTCAGTTCTTGGAGCAGCACTAGGGAGGGGTCCAGAATTGACTCTCATGAGGGATGATTTTACACTTTCCCTAAACAAGGAGCCTACATCTTTTAACTCCTAACCCACCTTTCCCATACCTTGTGCATCGATTCCCACTGCACTGCTCCTCTTTTGGACTCCTTTTTGTCCACAGAAGCTTCGAGATGTAGAGTAAGTCCTAGCTTTCATAAAGTGTCAACGCAAATAATCCATAATCAATATATTAACCAAAATTGGCGTGAGTTTATTATATGAGCCAGTTTTGAGGACTATAGACCAGGAGAGAACCTTCATCAAGGAAGGAAGCCCTCCGAAGAAGCAGGGTATACCATGGGGTTGTATTGTCTTGGAACAAGGAACATGCATCAAATATGACAGGAATCTCTCTTTTACTACAGGGACAAGATGTTTTGCTAGCACAGCAGGTCAGTGGTCAGAAGATAAGCACAGCAGGTCAGTGGTTAGCAAGTCAGAGGTCACAAAATGAGCACAATAGGTCAGAAATTAATAATTAGTTTCTGGGAAGAAATGCTTATCTTTAAAGAAATGCTGATATGGGGAGAGGCACACATCCCTATCTTTAAGAGCATCATTCTTGGCTTTGGGACATTGTAAATGTTTATAGCAAATGTACAATGCATGCTCGATAGGCCACGTTCAGCCTTTCTGGAAAAACAAGGTCAGGCCAAATTAGTTTTAACCAAATGGCTTCCTCATATACTCCAATATATCCTATTGCTTTTCATTTATTCATCAACAGCCATCCAATGGCAGGAGCACAGTGGTCACTTTGCCAGGTGTCAGGTGTCCTGGCTGCAGGCCAGTCCTGGGCAGTGGTGTTGCCAGCATGACTTGGAGGTGATAATGGGACACATGGAGGTGCTGAGCCTGATGTAGGTTAATATCACCAATAGCCTTTGCCTAATACCGCTCATTGACACTGATTTACAGTGTGGTTTATTTATTTTCACCAACAATCCTGCAAGCTTTGTATTGATATTTCCACTTTATGAATGAGGAAACCTGAGGTTCTTAGAGGTAAAATGACTTGCCCAAGATCAAGATAAAAGGCTGCTTCTGTGTTCTGGTCACCTGGGGTGGTGGGTGAGTTTTATATTTACCCTTTTTGATGGGAAGACTACCGCAGCTTTCAATTTAATCTAAGTTTAAAAAGATCTTCCTTTTTGAGAAAGTTGGACACTCTGTGTAGCACCATTAAACATCCACTAACTATTGCAGTCCAAATTGGGCTGGCTAGCAGACAATCCAAAATGCTCCCACTCTTTCATACCATGGAGCTTGACTAGCAGATGTGGGAACATAGGCAAAGATTACCTAAGAGTGGTATTAGTACCCCTTCCTGTGAGATCTAAACTTTATAAAATCACAGAATAGAACTATGACATATGTTTCACAATTTATATAACCAACCTTTTTTTTTTTTTTCCTGAGAAAGCTTCACCCTGAGCTAACATCTGTTGCCTATTTTCCTGTTTTTGCTTGAGGAAGATTCACTCTGAGCTAACACCTGTGCCAATCTTCCTCTATTTCGTATGTCAGTCGCCGGCACAGCATGGTTGCTGCCGAGTGGTGTAGGTGCACACCCGGGAACGAACCCCAGGCCGCCAAAGCAGAGCATGCCAAACTGAACCACCAGGCCATAGGCCTGGCCCTAACCAACCATTTTGACAATTATACACATTTGTTTTTTACAGTTATAAAATCATGCTTTCCCTCTGGTCAATTTAAGAAAACCCGAAGTTCATCTCATCCTACCCCAAATGCTGTGATTCTGCTCTTCCTCATAATTCACTATCAGATAATTTGATTAATTGGCATACTGTAGCCTCTCCATCTTGTTGCCATTCTACCTCTGCATAAACTACCAAAACAGTAAGCATCTCCTTCCTTCATCTGGGGTTTAGCACATAGTAGATACTCAATAAATATTTCCTGATAAAACATACATAAGCAAGTGACCTCTCATTTGGCCAATTACAATGAAAACAAGACACCACAGAACAGTGATGCACTCCTGAAATGACCAGCCTTTACTGAAGAGTGAAAAGGATACTAAGGGTTAAAATCTGCCAAGAGCTGGCTGAGAGAGTACATTAAATAAGCCCATGTGACTGGGCTCCAGTGTTTTCAAGTTTTTCTTAATCTCAGAATTTTTATGTTCTTTTACCTCTTCCCTACAGCTCTTACATCAGCCTCCATAAAATGGAATTTATCTCCATTTCTGTTCACCTTTCTCCCAGGCATAATGATCTATATCAGTGAATTAAAGAATATTCTTTGCAGAGGTAGAGCAGAAGAAATGGCTTCCAACAGATTGACTTTGCTAAACCCAGATCACAGTGAAGGCAAATTGTACAGTCTGTGAGAAAACCTAGGTTTGGGAAGAAAGTAGGGTTGTGGTGGCCTCAGGGATTATAAAGGGTGAAGAAAAGAGATGACTCCCTGTTTGATTCTCTACTTTCAGAGTCACCCTGGACCTACCAGAATGAGTAAAATAAAAAAAGATGAAGGGGCCTGGCTGGTGGTGTAGCGGTTAAGTGCCCGCGCTCTGCTTGGGCAGTGGCCCAGGGTTCGCAAGTTCAGATCCTGGGTGTGCACTGACACACCACTTGTCAAGCCATGCTGTGGCAGCGTCCCATATAAAGTGGAGGAAGATGGGCATGGATGTTAGCCCAGGGCCAATCTTCCTCAGCAAAAAAAAAAAAAAAAAAAAAGAATTTTCATTGGATGTTAGCTCAGGGCTAATCTTCCTCACACACACACACAAAATACATAAAAAAAAAAAGGTGAAAATACCAAGTGTTGATGAGGATGTGGAGCAACCAGAACTCGTATGTGTGCTGGAGGGGATGTGAATTAATAAAACCACTTAGGAAAACTGTCTAGTAGTATCTACTCAAGCCATATACATACCCTATGACCCCAAATTTCCATACTTAATATCCAGTTAAATGAATATGTTCACCAAAACACATGTGTACGAATGTTCATAGCAGCCCCAAAATGGGAAACTACCTAAGTGCCCATCGACAGTAGAACAGATAGATTTAAAATGTTATATTCATAAAATGAAATACTATCCACCAATAAGAAAGGACAACCTGTAACTCGTGCAACAATATGGATATATCTCACAAGTTTATTGATGAAGGAACAAGATCAGACACAAAGGAGTCAGTATCATAAATGCTAGCGAGCAGCTCTCTAGCAAGCCTCCCTTATTTGCGCTGCTTAACTTCAATTCACTTCATTGTCAATTCTGGTTAGTGATTTGAAGATTTGTATGGGAGACATCAGAAAGGCCCATTTCTAGACTTCATGGGTTAGCAAAGTGATAGGCAACCAAAATTTCATATGTAAACATGCAATGGCATAAATATATAAAATATTTTTTATTTATATATAACACCCTACACAATACATATACACATATTTTGCTACTGTGGAAAACTGTCCTTTCTTTTTCCCCCCAACCCACCCCCCTAGGGCATCACTTTCCTCTGTGTTGCTCTAGTTGAAAAATAATCACAGGGGCTGGCCTGGTGGCGCAAGCAGTTAAGTGCGCGTGCTCCACTGCAGCGGCCCGGGGTTCGCCGGTTCGGATCCTGGGCGTGCGCCGACGCACTGCTTGGCAAGCCATGCTGTGGCGGTGTCCCATATAAAGTGGAGGAATGGGCCGGCCGTGTGGCTTAGCGGTTAAGTGCGCACGTTCCGCTGCTGGCAGCCCGGGTTCG